ACAGACACCACACACTCACACACACACCACACACACACACACAAACACACCACACACCACACACACACACACACCACACACACACTCACACACACACACACACACCACACACACACTCACACACACACCACACACACACACACCACACACACACACACCACACACACACACCCCCCCTGGTCCCTGCCCTGCCTGGAGATCTGAAAGTCAGAACAGAGAGGCAGAGAAGCCTGAGTGGCCCTCTGGCCCGGCCTCGACTTCAGAGCCTGGCCAGCACGTTGTAAACGCAGGGCCCAGGAGTTGGCTCCTGGCCTGCTCACCTATCTCCGTCCCCTGCCCTTCACACCACCTTTTAACAGCATGCTATTAACCCTCCAATTCCTGACAAAATAAATAAATCGGGCACATAACCTGTGCTTAATCCTCTATCACTAAACGCTTTGAACAATTCTTAGGCATTATTGGAGAGAGTCATAAAATAGATTACTCCCATCAACAGATCCCTCTGAACTTGATTTAACCTTTGCTCTCAGAGCCTCAGGTATTGTTCTGTGAAGCTGTGGGACCCTGGCACCCACAAACGTTAGGGAAATAGCTTGCCTACACCCCATGTCCCCAAACAGAGCAACCGTAAAAAGCTTGTGCTACTTTTTATGTCTGCATCGGTCTGGTTCCCTTCTCGTTCCCCAGCAGTTGCTATCACTCTTTCTGACATCAGGGCGGCTGTTGCTAGAAGGAACTCTTGCCTCATTCCTCAACCCCACCCTGATTCAATTTGCTGCTGCCGTCTGTATAAACTAGAGTCACGCAACCACAATGTGTTAGGCTTATAGCTAAAATGAGAGTACTTGATTTGTGACATACAACTTGGGGAGCTTTGTGCTTAAAATTAGCTTGTTTGCTAACTCCCTGGCTTTTTTGGTGCAGGTGTGCACATGTGCGCGTACACGTGTGTGTGCACGGGTGTGTGTGAGAGAGAATGCCCGCCTCGGAGAAGGTAAGCGTCTGCATATCCCACCGACCAGGGCCTGGGACCCTCACCTCAGTGAGACGGATGTCTGCCGGGATCCGGTCTCCGATGGAGAGAGACACGATGTCCCCGGGAACCAGGTCTCGCGCCAGCAGGTGCTGGAGCTTTCCTTCTCTGATGCTGCATTTGAAACAGTAAAAAGCCGAAGCACGCATGTTAACATCCCCGTTTTATGCACTTTGATAAATGTGAGCAAAGATGATGGAAACACACTTTCCCTTTCAGGTATGGACAAACCTTTGCGGTGTTGTTATTTTTTAAACTCATGTATCCTAGGAGATGTGTGGGGAGCGTGTGTGGCTTCTGGGAGACCCTGGTCCTTGTCTGAAGTGCGGAGCTTCCCCTGTTTACCCGCCTGAACACCAGGCTGGGCCACACGGCCTCCAGCGCCTGCAGCTCTAGGTCAGCGGTGCTAAAGCTTCCTTAATGGAGGCAGTAGCTTGTGTCCTCAGAGGAGACACCACCCGGGTGTGCAGAGCCCGTCTTGAGAACTCAGGGATGGCAGAGCCTCGTCAGAGCCCAGAGGAGCATCTGAAGTGTCCGAGCAGCCCAGGACCGCCCTCCCACAGGGCCAGGGCCATTGCTCAGGGCCATCCACCTCTAGACAATGGACGTACTTCTGTGCACAGGTTGCAACTGCAATTCCTCCACACACTGCCCTCCTCCAGTGGCCTCCCAGCTGGACTCCTGTCTCCCCTCTGGCCTCCTTTAACTCATCCTGCACACAGCAGAGAGCTCTTAGAGCACAAAATCAAACCCTCCAGTGGCTCTCTGATGACCTTGCAATCAAACCCAAAAGCCCTGCTAAGGCCCTCTCGATCCAGACTCGTCTCCTCCTCACACCGGCCAGCCCCTGAACACACCCAGCTCTTTCTAGTCTCAAGGTCATTGGTGACCTTGAATGCTGGAGCAGGCATTCCCCTCCTCCTTGATAACAGAATTCAACCTTGTTCCGGTGTCTACCCTTCCCCCCACAACTGTGTGCTCCAGGGATGGGTCTTGACTGGCTGAGATCACCAGAGTGATCCCACCCCCTGCCCAGGATTGGCTTAGGCACAGGCATGTTTTGTAACACTGGCCTTTGAGACATGAGTGGACATTCTGATGGGGCTCATGCACCTGTTAACACACACACACACACACACACACACACACACACACACACACAGCCTCTTCTCCTGTTTGATTCTTCATGTCTGGCTGTGATGCTGGAGCTGTTGCAGCATCTAGGACAGTGATGGCGAACCTATGACATGCGTGTCAGAGGTGACATGCGAACTCATTTTTTTGGTTGATTTTTCTTTGTTAAATGGCATTTAAATATATAAAATAAATATCAAAAATATAAGTCTTTGTTTTACTATGGTTGCAAAGATCAAAAAATTTCTATATGTGACACGGCACCAGAGTTAAGTTAGGGTTTTTCAAAATGCTGACATGCCGAGCTCAAAAGGTTCGCCATCACTGTTCTAGGACCATGAGGGGAACCAGCCAGAGAACAGTCCACAAGCTGAGGATGGCAGAGTAAAGACATTAAGACGACCAGGTCCTTGGTGCCAATATCTTCAATTAATTAACCCCACTGCCCGCCCCCCTCAGGCCCCTTGCCATGAGACAACACAGTTTCCTTGTGGTTTGTGCAGTTGAGTTTTCTGTTCCTTGTAGCCAAGAGCACCTATCAGATACACGGCGGCTGTTTCCTCAGCTGTTCCCAGGGCTGGCTCCTTATCTTTCTCGGGCCTCAAATGTCGGATCGGGGGGCCTGGCCTCTAGCTATTTGAAGTTGTCCCCACTCCTCCACCAGCCACCACTGTACCTCTGCAGGGATTTTTGTTTGTTTGGTTTGGTTTTTGTGGGGCTTTGGGTGTTGAGGGGTCTTGTTGGCTTTAACGCACCTAATCATGTTCACCGTTATAACCCAGCACTATTTTTCCCAGCACACAGTAGGTGCTCAATAAATATTTAATGGCTGCACAAAGGGTGGAGGTAATGCAGGAAGGGTCTGCATGGCAGGTGTTTCTCCTAATTTGTAAAACAGGCCTTGGAGACCCAGAGAGTGAGGCTGCATATCTACGATGCTCTTTCAACTCTGCCAGGCTGCCTGCCACCGCTGTTCCTGAGAATAAAATGTCTTTTAGGAGCAAAACTTCTGAGGACATCAATAATGTATCTATTCACCTAAAAGGTCAAGACTTGATATTTAAACTTAATATCACATCAAACCACATCAATCATTTACGCTTCCCTTTGCTCACGGGATTAGGCCACACATCACACCCCTGGATTTCTGACAGCCTTATTCATCCCTCATTAAGCCCAGACATTTTTACTGTCCCCAATGACCCTTCCAGCATTGACTCATCCTCCCTCGTGCCTCCACATAGCCTTTTTGTCTCTATTTCGTTATTCATTATTCTCTGCCTATGTTACACACACACACACACACACACACACACACACACACACACACACACTCTCCTGATTCCTTGAGAGGTGGAACTCTATTTCACAAGATCTTGCTATCCGCCAGCCCTGTGGCTCAATGGTGCCATATACACTCAATATATGCTAAGGTTCTTTCCCCAGAATTATCCTTCAGAAAATAGGTATTGTATGCTAAAGTCCTTCCAAAATACCTCAGGTCACATTGTAAATACCTCTGCCACATTGTAAATCCTCAGTAACCATATTTGACTGGACATGTACTGGACAGCACAGATTACAGAACACTCCAGAAAGTTCTACTGTACAACACTGTGCTAAGCAGAAATGCCCACGAGGTACTGCCAGATATTTTTGTCTTTTTCCTTTTTAAATATCGTTGGTAAGGGCTGCGCGATCACAAGCAGCAACGTGGAAATGCCTGGACAGGAGAGAGGCTGGTGGGCTGCTAACCAACTCCCTGGAATTCATTCCCATGTCGTCCCACCCTTCAACCCATGTCCTGATGCCTCGGCTTGTTAAAGCCCCGCATCTCAGCCTCTTGAGTCCACCCTTTGAGAATCCAATGAAACCTCTGAACGCTCTTTTGGGAAAACGCAGTTTTGCACAGTGTACGACGGGTTTCAGGGGCACCCTCTTCCTGAGCCATTTCCATCATCCGTGGCCCCCAGGCCAAGCACCCTGACTAGATGCAAATGACAGACTGGAAGCCCAGAGAAGTCGAATGACACGCCCAACGACTCAGGTAACCCACTGGCAGGATGACCAGCCCAGAACCCCAGTACAACATGGTTTCCCATGTCACCCTACAAGGGATACAAAGTGTGCCAATCTCACCAGCCCACTGGCTCCCCTGATGAACCAAAAAGTCCCAGGGGTCTCTGACTTACCAGTTACACTCGGGAGGTACCAGCTTGGTCAGCTCTTCCAGAGATTTCTCCGACCTGTACTCCTGGCAGGAAGCACATCAAACATGCTTTTCAAAGGTGGGGATTCCACAGAGCTCCCGCCACGCCCGGTCACCCCAACCGGGGCCTCGGGAAATAAATACACACCTGGATGATGGCGACAGGGTCCACGATCAGACGGCCTATGGAGCAAACGGGAAGGGGGCGTTAACCCCGGCTGCACAGCGCATGAGTCCAGGGAGTGAGGGGAGGTCATCATCTTTCAAAATATAGTTCTTTTTTGTTTGCAAAATAAGTGTACTGTGCAGAAACGTAGAAAAGAGATAAGCCAGAAGAGAGCAGCCAAATCACCCCAAGTCCTACCATGAGAGGTTCACGTTGTGGGGTACCCCTTTAGATTTTTCTGCATAGACACACTTATCACACAGGGTCCTATAGTGTACACATATTCTTTTACAAACTGCCTTTTCACTCAACAGCATCCTGTAAACACCATTCCACATCAGAAGGTGTGGCTCTAACCCCAGCCTTTTAAACCGAAGCAGCAGATTTCACGGTGTGGAGTGAGTCCGTGTTTGTATTTTGGGAGTGCGTGACAGACAGAGAAAGCCGGAATGACATCCATCAAAAGGGGTTCGGCAGAAGCCAGACATGAGGTCACATATTGCATGGCTACATTCCCAGGATTGGGGACTCCACAGAGACACAAAGCAGACTGGTGGTTGCTAGGGGCCGAGGAGGGAAGATGGGGGGCGACTATAATGGGTATGGGGTTCCCTTTGAGGGCAATGAAAATGTTTTAGAACTAGATAGAGATGGTGGCCATACAACATTGCGCATGTACGACACGCACTGCATTGTTCACTTTAAGATGGTTGATTTTTTTATTATGTGACTTTTCACCTAAATTTAAAAAAAAATGTTTTAAGGCGCTCAGTGGTTCTCTCTAGGTAACAGATTACAAACAATTACTCTTTTTAAAAATATATATATTTTTTTTATTGACTTCAGCGAGGGAGGGAGAGGGAGAGAGAGATAGAAACATCAAAGATGAGAGAGAATCATTGATTGGCTGCCTCCTGCATGCTCCCTACTGGGAGCCCACAAGCTGGGCATGTGCCCTTGACCGGAATCAAACCCAAGACCCTTCAGTCCTCAGGCCGATGCTCTTTCCACTGAGCCAAACTGGCTACGGCTGCACACGAGCAATTCCATCCGGGTCATGGGAGAGGAACTCCTTGCCACAGTGTTCCAAACGGCAAAGAACAGAAGCACCTGGGCATCCACCAACGGAGCGATGGCCACATAAACCCCGACACCCCCACGTGGGCAGAGAAGGACATGGATTTGCTTCTCTTTCTTTCTGCCACATTCTCTTTTTTTCTCTACAGACAAACTCTGTTTTCCTTGCACAGTAAGCAAGCAAACCCTGGCAAGCCCCTGGGCAGCGAGCGGGTCTGGGGGCCGGTGCTGCCCGGGCGCCGTGCACTCACCGCGGTGATACTGATGGCGTCCTCATAGTTCTTCGTGAGGATGCTCACCAAGGCCGAGGCCAGCAGCAGCAGGATCAGCGGGTTCTTAAACTGAAAGATGAAAGCAGGGCGGGTGGGTTCTTCGCTGGGCTTCTCACTGTGCAGCAGCGTGCGACCCGGGTCCTTACCCAGAGCCAGGCTTCCAAGCCAACAGCGACAGTGACCCAGGGCTGGGGGAGAGAGACCCCCGCCATCCAACGGTCCCCTCCTGTCATGCCCCCACTGCACTTTCATTGGCATTGGCTTTCGGGGGTCACACAGCAAACAGGCAAGAGAGCCGATGGGAAGCACAGCCCACGTGCCACCAGTGCTGCCCTGGCCGCGGATGATCAGACTCTGCCTGGCTCCTGGAGCCCCTTCTAAGCCAACACGTTCAGGGAGAGGCAGTGAGGGGCTTG